TAACTAACACTTTAGCTTCACTTAAACAGAACGACACCAACAATGGCCAATCTTCAAACAGATTATGATTCAGAATGACCTACTTTGGGAGTTTTTGGGACTTAAAATGGCAATAAAAAGCATTCTGACTCTGATATGGTCTATGACTGTACCAACATCTTTCCTATCACAAACACTGAGCTAACCATGCAAGTAAAGAATATAGAGTATGTTAAGAATCCTAAATCTTCATTTCAAACCTGAAAAATGCAACTTTTTTTTTCAGAGGGTTTTGAGGGTAAATGGAAAACACTCAATTCCCAGAAGTTGTGCTCCTGATTCTCCGCTGCACTAAAAGGCATCGATAGCACAGGTTTAGTTCAGAGGAAGTCATTCTTCAGGCCGCAGCAGACAACTCCATTCAGGACAAGCAAGCTTTAAATTAAAAATTAAACAGGATTAGTTCCCAACCTTAGTGCTCTCTAAAGTGTGTCCTGTGCTGACTGCTAGCGTCTAAACTTAGACTCCCACAAACACGAACTACAGACCTACAACAGTCATTTAGCGTTGGGGTTGTGTTGATCCCAGCTCATAATTGTATATTTAAAACAAAATGATCTGCTTTGAAAGAAACCGCCTCACTAGAATGTGCAATTATGCGTAACTATAGATGGGTATCTACTGAGGTCCTGGAAGTCTGAGGAAGTGGTGGGGCGGCAGTGAGATAATGGCAAACTTCCCCCAAAACAAATAGAAACAAGAAACTATAGAGGTCGGAATCTCGAAAATAAAACATCAAAAAGGTTTTAGGTCTGAGCTCTGTCAACACCAACGTCGGACCAATCCACGGGGAACAGAAAAAGCTAAGACGTTTGAACTGAAAAATACAGTTTGAAAAGGGGTTGGACGAAGCAAATTCGATAAAGTTAAATTAAATAAAATTGGTTCTACAATTGCTCATGTAATCTGAGAGGACTCGAATACAATCTGTTAATATTGCTTTTGGATGCGTTTTTTATGCTTGGAAAAGTTTGAAGATTGTAACCATTGTTGTTGATGTAGTTCTGTTCAAGAAAAGCTAAAATCTTGAGTTACCGAGGTCAAATATATATATATATATATATATACAAAAAACAATAACAATGTGCAACAAGCTTCTTAAACTGTCTCAAAAATGTTAATAAGTCGTGTCATTTTTGGACTGTGGACAAAGTACAATGAAGACGGATGAACACCGACCTCACACGCCATGCATCTGTGCAATAATGGGCAATAATGTCAGAATGTGCAATATGGGACCACATGTGTCACTTCAATCCCAAAGCCTCGTGCTGCTGCAAAATATTTATAGTCTGCACTTTCTGGACTTTAAGATGCATCTGTGTATAAGCTGCACCACCTATTTTTTTTAAAGAAAATATATCTTGTCCACATATAAGCCGCACTTGAATATAAGCCGCAGGTTTTCATGCTGTTATGTAGCAGAGACACTTAACATTAGCTTCCATCACTCATTCACCAACATCTATTTTGTAAACGAGTGTCTTATATCTCCAAAAACTGAATGAAGTCATAATAATAAGTTCATAAACTCTGCTCTGACAACTCTACCACAATAAAAAAATAATCACAATCAGAACCAGAATCAGAATAAAAATAATTATAGTAATACATCATACTTATGTAAACTTTTTTGGACACTCAAAGATGCTTTACAAAAGGACAGGTAAGAAAATAAAAACATATAAACATGTATAAAGATAAAATGAATACACATGTTTGATGCATCGCTATATGAGGATATAAGGATTTACTTATTTATTTATTTGGGTCCCCATTTGTTTCCACCAGTGGTCGCTAGTCTCCCTGGGGTCCACAAAGGATCAATTCACTTAAAGCATTTACAAAAGAACACCAGACTGAATAAACATTTCACATCATCCTAAGGGGCGTTCACACCGGACTTAACTTCGGCGTCAAAAGCGTCAAGTTTCCATTGAAAGTGAATGGTGAAGCGCGTCAGGTGAAGCCGAGGGGCCCGGCGTCACTTGACGCGCGTCAAAAGCTTCAAGAGTCGCGCGTACTACGCGCTCACTTGAAGCTTTTGACGCGCGAAACGCTCGCGTATCACAACAATCCCTTTGACGCCGAAGCTGAGCAAAGCTGAGCTTTTGAAGCTTTGACGCGGGCTTCAACCAATCAGGAGACGAGGAGCAGCAGCAGCAGAGGGTCTGTCTCTGTCATGAAGAGAAGTCATGTATCTACTGCTGCTGTTTTATTGTCATTATTGTTATTAGTAATATTATTTGTATGAGTAGTAACATTCTGAGTAACAAAAATCATTGTATACATGCTGTGTAGTAAACGTAGTTTATTTAAAATAAGAACAGGCTGACTATGAGTCTGGCTCAAAGCAAGGCAGCTCCGAGCGGGCGAGAGCCGGGGAGAGGCAGGGGAGAGGCAAGAGCGAGGCGGGGAGAGGCGAGCGAGAGCCGGGGAGAGGCAGGGAGAGGCGAGAGCGAGGCGGGGAGAGGCGAGCGAGAGGCAGGGAGAGGCAGGGAGAGCCGGGGAGAGGCGAGCTCCGGGGTTTGAGAACTCAGACTGGGCGAGTGACATGCGGAAGTACCGCTGAAAGCGAGACTCCTCCGTACGCAGCTCCTGGAGTAAATGACGGAACTCTGCAAACACTGCAGCCTCTCAAGTCTGTGGTGAACCCAGAACATGTTTTGTTGAAGCCCTACAACAACGTTATTTTGCTTTATATAACAAATAAAGGCTCGCTGCTCATTGAAAAATCCACCGCTGTCCTGACAACAGACAACAGAGAAGCTCCTCCCACCGACAACAGAGAAGCTCCTCCCACCGGCATCAGGCGCGTCACTCGCGTCAAAAGCTTCAAGCACCAAAATGACAAAACTATCCCGGCGTCAGTTGAAGCGCGTCAAAAGCTTTTTGAAGCTTTTGGTCTGAACGCGCCTAGACCTTCATTCAAGCAGCGCATAATTCAAAGTAACAAATAAGTAACTAGAAAAAGGTCGTGGCTTAGAGAATATAAAAATCTACTTCCTATTTGGGCTGTGGTTTGCCGCTAAATATTGATAAGTTCTGAGATGCTGAACCAGAAGTCCAAAGGCCAGTGTGGTTTGGATCCTAACAGTTATTCATAGAGTCCGCCATCCACAAAGACCGAAGCCTGGGGACCAATTTATCCTCCCAGCATGCCTCAGTTTTAATCTCATTCGCCACTCGACAAAAAACAAGTCTAAAAGACGTGAGATGAAAAATGCAGTAGAGTTTCATTTCTTCAGAACAGAGTCAAGTCAAGCAGCTGTTGCGCAAAACCTTAGACTTGGAGGTTTGGATTTGGGAGCACACCTCTCTCTGACTACTACCGTCATGGTGTCATTTAGGGAAGGACTGAATCTCGCAACGTGTGTGAAATCTACAGACGTGTTCGGAATGGTCCTGAGATCAGATATTCAGGAACGAAACTGTAGTAAGTCCACGTGTTTAAACAAGACGCAACAGCAAAACGTCAATCAGGAAATGAGACTTGGAGAGATCCGAGCTCAGTCTCAATGTATCTAAAACACAACGATTTTCCCAACTTGTTTCTCTGCTAATTCTGTCACAATCACCAATTTTGATGGAGCTCATATTGATTCCAAAAATGATTGCGCAAAATGATAACAAAAACTCTGAATGCCACCGATGCTAATACAAGATCATAGATTTCTCTGCTCTAACTTGCTCCGACTAGTTTTATTGTTGTTTAAATGTAAATATCACAAAATCTATTGCTTCAGTTAGTGAACGGCTAGTCTGTATCGTAAGTGTCTTTGAGTTTTTGAAAAGCGCTGTATGATATGGATGTTTTAATATTAGTAGTAGTAATTATAGTGATAGGCATAAGTTCCACCAGTACATATATATTTTCTGATGAACCTTTGCGAATATACTTGAAAGAATAAGATTTGCTTCAATATAACCCATTTACAACATTTCCAACTGAGAAGCTTTCAGAGAGAATAGGATTCAGTTTGCGATTTTCTGATTGCAACCACCAAAAATGTGATATTGAGTCAATGCAAAGAACTATCAAATCGTCAAAATACCAAGTGTGAGAGAGCCAAAAACACAGAAGGAAGTATTTGAGCATTAGTGCTGCCTTACCTCTTGTGGATACACTACATTTGATCTATTTCCACAGGAGAAGGTGATAAGAGATTAAGAGAGATCCTTTATGGGTCCCACAGTGAGGATATTTCAGTGTTGCATCACCGCTTACAGGGCAGGAAGAATGAGGAGCACACAGCACAAGGTAAATGAACACAGCTCTCTACTAAACTCTCTACTAAATAACATAACAGCAAATAAAACCTCTATCTTTAGCATAATAAGGAGCAGTCAGTGTGTAATAAAAAGTATAAAATAAGTACAAAATGTCTGACTTTAGCATAATGAAGAAGAAAGTAAAAAGTACTGCATATAATCCATAGAGGCACAGACATGACGTTTACAAAAATAACACAATGAAAGCACATCAACAGTTATTATAAATTTAATCAAAAACAGCAGTCAAAAGTCAAAGTTGTGCAAAAGAGTAGGAGCTAAAATCAAACTTTTTTATGCCAATACTTAATTTTCCTTTGCTTGTAGTTTTGACAATGATTCTGAATAACACACGTATCAATCCACTACTACTACCAGCAGCAGCAGCAGCAGCAGCAGCAGCAGTCATACGGTGAATGAGTCCTGATACAAACAGACTCCTATTTCACGCAGTTTATGTCAAATCCATCAACGTCATCAAGAGTTATTTTAAAGATGGGTGTCGACCTGCTCCGGAGAAATGTCCTGCTGCAGCTGTTCAACACGGTCACATAGTGTCATAGATGTACAGCCACAGAGCCTCAATACAGAAGGAAATAAAACCCATATAATATTTTAGTAAAGGATGTATCGATATGTTTACTTATTGCCAAGAATACACTGTTGGTAGTAATCCAGCTGTTGGTTCGATGTCAGTTCTGAGGCGTAAGTTGAGCTAATTTAGTTCCTTCTTTCTATATTTTAGACTATTATTTATTGGCTGAGGGATCCCCAGTCTGCGGCTCAGTCTCCGGCCCCAGTCTCCGGCCCCAGTCTCCGGCCCCAGTCTCCGGCCCCAGTCTCCGGCCCCAGTCTCCGGCCCCAGTCTCCGGCCCCAGTCTCCGGCCCCCAGTCTCCGGCCCCAGTCTCCGGCCCCAGTCTCCGGCCCCAGTCTCCGGCCCCAGTCTCCGGCCCCAGTCTCCGGCCCCAGTCTCCGGCCCCAGTCTCCGGCCCCAGTCTCCGGCCCCAGGCTCCGGCCCCAGGCTCCGGCCCCAGGCTCCGGCCCCAGGCTCCGGCCCCAGTCTCCGGCCCCAGTCTCCGGCCCCAGTCTCCGGCCCCAGTCTCCGGCCCCAGTCTCCGGCCCCAGTCTCCGGCCCCAGTCTCCGGCCCCAGTCTCCGGCCCCAGTCTCCGGCCCCAGTCTCCGGCCCCAGTCTCCGGCCCCAGTCTCCGGCCCCAGTCTCCGGCCCCAGTCTCCGGCCCCAGTCTCCGGCCCCAGTCTCCGGCCCCAGTCTCCGGCCCCAGTCTCCTGCCTCAGTCTCCTGCCTCAGTCTCCTGCCTCAGTCTCCTGCCTCAGTCTCCTGCCTCAGTCTCCTGCCTCAGTCTCTGCCTCAGTCTCTGCCTCAGTCTCCTGCCTCAGTCTCCTGCCTCAGTCTCCTGCCTCAGTCTCCTGCCTCAGTCTCCTGCCTCAGTCTCTGCCTCAGTCTCTGCCTCAGTCTCTGCCTCAGTCTCTGCCTCAGTCTCTGCCTCAGTCTCTGCCTCAGTCTCTGCCTCAGTCTCTGCCTCAGTCTCTGCCTCAGTCTCTGCCTCAGTCTCTGCCTCAGTCTCTGCCTCAGTCTCTGCCTCAGTCTCTGCCTCAGTGAGAGTCACGCGTTACAATATCGCACCAACACCAGCAGCAAAACTGCCTCACGTTTCGTCGATACCGTTGCTGCTGGTGTGAAATGGGATGAATACGATTCATTATTCACACTCAAACAGACACACTATAGGGTTAGCAAAGGTTTGTGCTCCAAAAGACATGTGTTTGTGAGAATAAGACGAGAATAACACTTATATTCAAAAACATATGAATGATGTTGGCCAGTAGAAAGGATATTAGACTTCATGACTTTAGACTTTTAGATTTTAGACTTGTCAACAAATATTCATTTTTAATTCTTCAAAATATTGAATTAGAAAGAAAGCTCAACACATGTGGAAGAAAACTCCCTCACTCTCTGGTCCCTCACTCTCTGGTCCCTCACTCTCTGGTCCCTCACTCTCTGGTCCCTCACTCTCTGGTCCCTCACTCTCTAGTCTCTCTTTCGCTCTAGTCTCTCTTTCGCTCTAGTCTCTCTTTCGCTCTAGTCTCTCTTTCGCTCTAGTCTCTCTTTCGCTCTAGTCTCTCTTTCGCTCTAGTCTCTCTTTCGCTCTAGTCTCTCTTTCGCTCTAGTCTCTCTTTCGCTCTAGTCTCTTTCGCTCTAGTCTCTTTCGCTCTAGTCTCTCTTTCGCTCTAGTCTCTCTTTCGCTCTAGTCTCTTTCGCTCTAGTCTCTTTCGCTCTAGTCTCTTTCACTCTAGTCTCTTTCGCTCTAGTCTCTTTCGCTCTAGTCTCTTTCGCTCTAGTCTCTTTCGCTCTAGTCTCTCTCGCTCTAGTCTCTCGCTCTAGTCTCTCTCGCTCTAGTTTCTCTCTCTAGTCTCTCTCTCTCTAGTCTCTCTCTCTAGTCTCTCTCTCTCTAGTCTCTCTCTCTCTAGTCTCTCTCTCTCTAGTCTCTCTCTAGTCTCTCTCTAGTCTCTCTGTAGTCTCTCTCTCTGTAGTCTCTCTCTCTGTAGTCTCTCTCTCTAGTCTCTCTCTCTGTAGTCTCTCTCTCTAGTCTCTCTCTAGTCTCTCTCTCTCTCTAGTCTCTCTCTCTAGTCTCTCTGTAGTCTCTCTCTCTGTAGTCTCTCTCTCTCTCTAGTCTCTCTCTCTCTCTAGTCTCTCTGTAGTCTCTCTCTGTAGTCTCTCTCTCTCTAGTCTCTCTCTCTCTCTAGTCTCTCTCTCTCTCTAGTCTCTCTCTCTCTCTAGTCTCTCTGTAGTCTCTCTCTGTAGTCTCTCTCTCTCTAGTCTCTCTCTCTCTCTAGTCTCTCTCTCTCTCTAGTCTCTCTCTCTCTCTAGTCTCTCTCTCTCTCTAGTCTCTCTCTCTCTCTAGTCTCTCTCTCTCTCTAGTCTCTCTCTCTCTCTAGTCTCTCTCTCTCTCTAGTCTCTTTCTCTCTCTAGTCTCTTTCTCTCTCTAGTCTCTTTCTCTCTCTAGTCTCTCGTCTTTCTCTGGTCCCTCTCTCTTAACAGCCTTAAAACATACAGTTGCTACTTCAAGAATTTACTTATTGCGGGTTATATTTTGGAACTTTACCACCGCGAGACAAGAGGGGTTTGAGGCAAAATATTGTGTCCAGTGGTGTAGTACATTTCACACAAACGCAGTGACTATCAAGCTTTTACTCCTGAACAAAAATACACCCAAGCCAGTTAATTCAAGGCGAGATTAGGTCTGCATATTTACTGTATCATTTCGATCTCGATTAAAACGGCTTCAAAGGCCTGTATGTTCGAACGCTGAAATGAAATATCAAGTCTCCCGCAGCTTGAGATTTCCATGATAATAGGAAAAAGGGAACAAGACGTGAGCAGTATTATCAAAGGTCCTTTAGTTTGTGTATCGTCACAAATGGGGCCTGTACTTCCTGAAACACAATGGCCCCAGTCTCCGCTGTGATCCCTCTGCAGCTCCAGTTTCTCCTCATTCACTTTTCTCAATGCAGCCTTTCAACCGCACCAAACCATGTATCACCGCACGCTGTCAGTCATTTTTCAGCCTCGGGTTCATACGTTACGTCGATTTTCTATACAATATTAAAAACGCATAAAAAATAGCTTTATCCGTGTTCTAACGTTGTCTCAGTTTGATGTAATAATGGGTTCTCCAAATCAATAGTATGCATTCATATGTCGTCATAACATTCGCCGTACAGGAGACGCATGCCAGACCTATTGTACATGTTTTTAGTGGGAGGGGAAACTGGAGCACCAGGAGGAAACCTAGGCAGATAAGGGAGGAACATGTACACAAACAGAAAGGCCCGGTCTGGAGGAACAAGAGCTAACCAGAGCGCAGCTGTGCCGATCTGGGAAAACATTTGGACATTTTCTTTTCCGACATTTCTTTCCGATTGAGTTGTATCGACACCAGCCCTCCAACTAAAATAAATTAAATGTTATACTGTACAACCAAAATATATAAAATGTAAAATGTAGATTTTTCTCTATGTCGGGGGAGTCAAACTCATTTTGTTTCAGGGCTGGATTTTAAAAATAACAGCTCCCAGGGGCTTTTACATTATGAAAGTATTTAGACAAATGTATTACTTCAATTTAACCTGAGTTTGGATTTTATTTTCTGGTAGATTTTTCCAAACAAAACTCAATCAGTTGCTGTGTGTTTGTACTGAACCTAAACTAGGTCAACGTTAAAGGATTGGCCAATGATTTATATTTTCAAAAATGTATTATCACATGTTAGGGTCACATTTTGAAATAAATCAAAAAATGATTGTTGTTGAGATTGTCATGGCAGCTCATATTAACCTACCACCAAAGCTGCAAGTTAATAGTAATAATTGTATGTTATCCAATAGGCCACAAAAAACAGTCTGATGTGCCGCTTTTGGCTCTCGGGCCTGGAATTTAACACCTGGCCTCAAATCTTTCTGTCAATACAAACCAGTAAGACGACCTATTTTTCTCCAAGGATCATAATAATAAAACCCAGTGAGATGGCTGCACACGCCACTGCCAACAGGAAGAACAGGTTGCACCTCTACGGATCCATGTTCTATGCAAATCTACGCGCGTGTGATTCCAAGGACAAAATACAGGGTTTCGGGGGGAAAGAGCCGGTCACGTCAGCACCATCTGATGTTGAAGATTAGTCACAAACGCCCACGACTTTGACTAATATGTAATGTTCAGGCGGCAGAGGCGTGGAGCACCGTCAGAACAAAGTACAAGTCTGTCCTGTCAGGGCTCTCTGGGACAATGGGAAACGGAAAGAATGCAAATCATTTCTCATGTGTCAAAAGAAACGTCGAGTCACAAAATAGTTTATTTGAATAAGAATCGTTACAGCCCCAGCTTTGGACGTCACACCTACATCATGACGTCAATATATTTTAATTGGATGGAAAAGTCTAACCCTGGGTTGTTTTAGTTTGAGAGTTTGTCAAGAAGTGGAGTGGCAGTATTTTTATATTAATGGGTTAATTTTAGTTTTGCAGAATATACAAGTTAATGGTAAAACCGATTATGTGGAATATTTGCTAAGGAGAAGGAAATGCAGGACCAGAGAGTCCAAAGTTCTCTGTGTTAATATTTGATCAATATTTCACTTTCAACAATCCATTAAAGGACACACATTATCCTAAATCATGTTTTTAGATCCAGAGTTTGGAGCCAAAAATTATCACAAGATTTTTTCAATTCAAACCAATCTTAATATCAGTATAATTCTTTTGGAAGTTTAGTTGAAAACAAAACAACATGGTTAGACAAAAGCATTATTATTGTCCACTAAAAATATCTAACTGTGCGTAACATTTTACCAGTCACAGTGAAAGACAACGACAGCGTTTTTTTAGCTCTTTCACCAAATACAAGACGGATGACTTTATCTCTAGCTTTCTACACATTAGATAAATCAATATTTGTATTGATGTTGATAACTTGCTGAATACAAGCTGCAGGAAATTTGAATATTCTAAAGATGGACGGTAAGTTTCACCTGTATAAGCAAATATCACCAAGATCATATTTAAAATAGCAATATGTCAGATGTTCATGTCAAGTCATCAGGGCCCTAATTTGTCAAAAGGCATAAATTAAACATGGTCTTTGTGAAAAAGGTGTTGGTTATAGATTTGTTGTTGACAAACCTCTTGTCTATTTAGCTGTTATGGTCCCAGCTGGATTCGTCTGCATATCTGGCAACCTGAGTCACGGAGATTGGGAGAGGTTGCAGTACCACTGTTGGCCACATTTTTAAATACTGCTCCTTTAAGGGTCAAAATGAACCCAAATAACACATAAAACATGCTTTTTAACAGGGAGAAACCAGAGCGAAGTTGTCATGGTGGAGTTTGGAGAGAGATCAACAGTTTCTCAAAGAGGAGCCCAGAGTTAAGCAAAGGAGAGCTACCTGCCAGCTCCGACCGAGACAGAGAGGGGGACTTTCCAAATCCCAAACGCTATTTTTTCAACACAAAAAATTCCCAACCATTTCATCTCCACGCACTAAGCAGATCACTGACAACAAAAGAGCCAACCGGGGTGGGTGGGGGGGGGGGGCACTGTTTATGTAGGCTACACCTTTCCATAAGACCACATGGGACCATAAACTCGGAAAAAATGTTGAGTGGAAAACATGGTCCTAACTCCAACGCTGGGATGTAAAATAAATTCCCCGTACCGAGAGACCGCAGCATATCATAAAATACCAAATAAAGGAAATTCAGTGTGTAGTAGCGTGTAAGTCGCACATTGACGTCAAGAAATAGATTTTTATAGTGGTTGAATTTCATGTGTGTTCTTTCGTCGGAATGTTTGAGAACTGCTGAGAACGTCAGATTTTCTTTGTCCCTTGATGATTACTTGAGTCGTTTTAGCTCAATCCAAGCTAATGTCAGATTATTCTGGATCAAATCTGCGACACTTCTGAACAAATGCACCTTTTATAAACTCGTTCCTCTATGTTGAATCCTATTATATCTATGGACTGTATATAAATGAACAATGCTAACCCGCTAGCTCAATGAAGCCCAATTGGGAAGTGCTAATGTATTAAGTTTGGCTCCAACTTGCTCTGACTTACATTGAAAAATAAACTTCTCTAGCTCAGTAGCTGTGTCACACTTAACATTTTGAGTCTTAAAAATATGTGCTTTATCGCTCTCTATGATTTCAATGTTTATTTTGTGATATCATCCTTATCGGTCCAGATATGAGTCGTAAGAATTGACCAATCGGATGCCTTCATTCGCGGGGGTAACTCCACCTTGCCTTAGCAACCATTATAGCAACTCGTTTTTAGCTTTAGCAACAGCGCTAAATCTAAAACCGTCAAAACAAATGCTCATTGAAGGAAATGGGCTCCAGCTAGCTTGTGTTTTGCATTCAAGCTAACACAATGCTGATGTCACACACAGTCGGTTCACTCCTAAAATATAAAGGAGTGGACTGACCGACTGTGACGTCATGAACAAAGCTCTTTCTGCCCTAAACAAACGCCGCATCTGGATTAGTTTTAAGAATTTCTAGTCAAATTAAAAATTTTAAAGCTGTGGGCATTCAATTACACCACAACGTTGTAGATATTAAATTAACAGAATGGAGGAGACCCAAAACTTATAATTTCATTCACTTCTTTATACAATTTATTATTGTATAGCCCTAGATCATAACAATAGTTATCACAAAGGACTTTACAAAGTTTTCGATTTGCCGACATAGATCAGACAATCAAACAGTTCCAACACAAAAAATGCCATGATAAAAAAACACACGGAGCCATTGGTCCATCAGGGGCAGAGACCAATGTCTATAAATGTGAATATATGTCCATAAATGTCAATTAAATGTCCTGGATCAGCACCACTGTCTCAAAACTCAAAAAATATATTGTCCCCAAGCAGAAAACTGTTTGCAGTAAAATAAATACTAATACCAATACAATACAAACAGCTGCATTCTGGGAGGAGGCACAGGATCCCACAGTGCAAAAGCAACAGGTTTAAGAACTCTGTTGTACCTCTGTCCATAAAGCTGCTAAATAACATCAGGTGATTAAGCATTTGCGTCAATGAATGTTATTATGTGTATTATCTGTGCTCCAAGAGACCCTTCTTCTTTTGGGAGGCGAGTCAGGCGACATAATAAAGAAATCTGTATATGAAAACCTGAAACCATCATTTGGAAACAAGATATTCCTGTATCAGTAAGGAACATTCTTTATTTTTCTATGTATTTTTCTAGTTTGGAGAAAGTTTTTCACATTCTAAAACCTGAATTACCAAAGTAAAACTCAACAGGTTTAAGTACCAAAATGATCTCTTTCTCTGTATGTATATCTTTAGGCACATTGCAGGCAGAACAATCATACATATTTAGATTTATAATAGTTTTTTAAGCCTTTGCAATGTGTGCGTTTTTTTTTTTTGCTTCATTCATTTCCCAGGTTTACATTTCTCCCGTACTACTCCTCTTGACGTCACGATTGTCATTCAAGTCGCACATGTCACAGTGAGCGGCGGCCGGACAAAAGGGCCGAATGGAAGCGAGTGTTACGTAAGAAATCAATGGCTGACAGCTTCTCAATAGGACTTCCCGTCGGCGAACGCGCATCGATACAATTGAATTAGCGCTACACAATCACACAGGACCTCTGCCTGGCTCTGTATCGACAGAGCTCTGACCCACAACTGCCAAACACAACACAATCTTCTCCACTCAGTCCTCGTCGCTGGAGAGAAATCAGGGAAACAAGAAACAAGATGAGAGAGGATGAGAGAGACAGATCCAGGTGTTGTGGATGATACAGATTTATAGAGGGGAAAAAAGGCATCTGTTTACGACTATTAGGGCAACAGCAAATCAATATTAACGTTGTCTTTTTTGTTATCACGTGACTAATTTGTGAGTCTGACTTTACTTTTTTTTTAAGGTTTTTTTTAAAATCTGTGGTTAAAAAAACTACAGGAACCAGAAACAGTAACCGAAACCCATTTATATCAACATGGGACTCGACCATAAACTGTATTAACGGACGTAGTCAAGCCTATCTCCGCCGTTCTAACTAATGGGCCAAAAATTGGGCTCTTATGGAGTGATTCAAAATGGTTGGAAAATGTGAAAAAACGCATCTGCGCATGCGTCAGCCGGTACGAGCTCCATTGATTTAAACGAGTGACTTCAAAAACTCACAGCGAGTAAACTAGAGTGGTCCAAAAAAATTCACCCCCCTCAGCATTGACACACATGTGGAACGGAGCTTTGGGCCAAGAGCCAACTTTTGGACCATCCTGTAAAGGTGTTTGAGAGGTAAGAAGATGCTATATGTTAGCATTGGCTAATTCTTATTCCGGGTCCACCCCCATCGGCCCGGGGTGGTATTGCAGCATGTCAGCGCACGTCAATTTGGCCACTTTTGAGCTGGGACCCGCCCCCACTGGACTCGACATGGGACTCGACATGGGAGACTCAACATGGGACTTGACTCAACATGGGCCTAAACATGGGTCTCAGTCCATCATCCTGGGTCTCAGTATGGGTCTCAGTCCATCATCCTGGGTCTCAGTATGGGTCTCAGTCAATCAACCAGGGTCTCAGTGTGGGAACTCAGTATGGGGTCTCAGCAGCTTAGAGGGGACATGTGACATCACCCGTCAGCTCTGAGCAGAATGACATAAGTCTGACTCAGCACATGGACCAGAACGCTGCAGGATCCGGACGAGATGTGAAGCAGTGACATGTGACGCCGGTGGCAACAGATGGACGACCGCTTTACATCACATTTGTCACAAGGTTTTGGGCAAAACATTTAAAAAATAGGGCTCGGAAAAAACAAGTTTAGTGGCTGCTTGAGAATGCGCATTTGTAGGTTGGGTTCATGTTGAAAAAGTCTATTTCTGTTGGAAGGTTGGTGCCAATACTGTTTTTATTAATGTATCTATGTATATATGAATGTTATTTTATTGTTTATGTATTTTAATTATTTTATTGTATAATAATGCTTTATCTATCTTATATTTGTGCATATATATTGTACATTTACTGACACTGACTTCTTTAAAACGTCTTTAAAACTTTTGTCTCTGTGCAGCACTTTTGAATCTTTATGCTATACAACTAAAATGGATTGGAGTGGACACAACTCGATGAGAAAGAACCAGTATTTTAAAGAAATTGATCCTTAACATGGGAAATATTTTTCAAAGAAATCTCAAAACTTTTTTCCCACATCATTATAAAATAGTTCATTCACAAACTTAACATTTTATACTTATGTCTGGAAGTCCGTTCTACTGACCAACATCATGCTTTGTGTTTTTTTTTAAGAATATTGTGCCACTTCTAGACAACTTCATGAAAAAATAATCAGACCAAAGTTGGTATCTACTCACAAAGAAGATGGCGAACTTGGTTGGCTCAGGATTGACAGTGAAATTAGCACTAAACTAAGACTAGAAATGTGACTTTAGACAGTTACCACGTTCCCATTCAAAACGAAAAGGCCCCAAATCCTCAATTTTAAACAGCTGAAAATACTTTTTATTGTATTGAATTGTATAACTATAAAAATCCATCTTTATATCTACCTGTGTTTTTATGGATTCTCACTGGTGCTCTATCATTTACTCTTTTTGTTATATTTTGTAAATGTACCTACGTTGCTTGTGATTAATTTGTACTAATTATTTCTATGCCCACGTAATTCCTCGAAATAAATAAATACACATGCAGTTCAAGGATTAAAAAAAAAGTTATTTGACTTGAATCAGAAGGGATTTCACAGCAACCGTCCACTACAAAAGGCTTTTTGAAATGAGGTGTATAGTTTTTTAAGTTGGTTATTTAGTCATCTGTAACTAAACAACTAAAAACATCAAGAAGCAAAATATTGGGGAAAATTTGAGAAGATCAAGCATCATGTCCTACTTTTCGATTTAATACTTACTTTAATACATGTCAAAGAGCCCCCTCCTCGCTCCCATCCTTCAGACTAGTCTCCTGCTACGCCCTGATCATCTGTGACTGCCGGGATCTGCTCTGGTTCAGACCCCAAGGCACTGATCTCCCCCCTCCCTCCTCCTCCCTTTGTGCCGTGACAGCAGGCGGGACCACCCCTGACCCTCACCCCTGACTTCTGTGTGGGCTGCTCTCTGGACTCTCTCTGGACGCACCTCGAATGAGCCGGGACCCTGACAGGCGAGGAGATGTTAATTAACCACACACGTCACACAGATACAACAGCTGAGAGGGTAACATTTGGACAGCAATTCAATTAAATAAGAAATAGCAGTGAAACTATGCAAAAAGTGATTAAAAGTAAGTCCAAAAATGCTCAAATTTGGGAAAATGTGTCTTGATTTGAGCACATTCAGACT